GCGACGTGATTTTCTTCCTTGTTAAGGAAAGCTGTAACCTGTCTGCAGCCGAACCCAGCTCACCCAGCTCAGCCTTGAGCTGGCCCAAGAGCTGGGGAGGGGAAGAGTCCCTGTCCCCACCCCACCCAGCGATCCACTTGTCCACCTTGGCAGAATAAACCAGCGAGGAGGCTCCACCCTCGCCAGCTGCCAGTCAGGGCTGGGGTCTCCTGCTCTGGCCTCTTGCTCAAAGCCGTTCCCTTCCTCATCTATGGGAAGTCTGTCTCCATCTCTTGGCAGGCAGCTGGGGGATCTTATCGGAAGGGCACCGGGAACAGCAAAAGTGCCCGATTTCTGTGCTCCGTTCCCTTAAATATTGCCCAACGTGAAACCTCCAGTGAGCTGGCCTGTTCTCCCACCCAGCAAATATTTATTGAGACTCTGTTATGTGCAAGGTGTTGCGTTAGGGCGTCGGGTCTGTGCAGGAGCCTCCTGTAATCAAGGTGACTTAACCTGCTGGGTCTCAAACTTCCGATTCTGCAACTGCACCAAAGAAATTGACACGAGCGCACGCAATAGGTTGGAAGCCACCACTGAGAGCTTGCACAGCCTCTAGCATGCAGAACGAAGAGACAGGTTTGTCCTACACCTACAGATAGGTCACTGAGTGCACAAACCCTCTCATTCATTGCATAACAGACAAAGTGGCTTTTGTGTCATGTTGACTATTTTTGATGGAAAGCAGCAAAATACCTGGGAAGGTTCCGGTACATTCTTCACAGTGTGTTCTCGGCTTGGCATGGCCTGGCTTGTTGGCCTCGCCACAGTTCTCGCTGCCTGACAAAACGGCTTCCCTTGTCAAGTCATGTGTGAGCTCGGACGCAGCAGGTCCGGGAGCACGAGGCTTGCTTCCCCCTGAGGTTTCTCACTGCGTCGTCTTGGGCGTGCTGAGCAGGTGTCTCTTCACACGCAGCACACGTACACACTTAGGGGATCTTTCTTGCCGTAGTTCAGATTGGTGAGTAAGCCATACGTGGTACACATGGCGATCACTCGCATGGGCGTTTCTCGGCTCTAGTAACGAGTGTGGGAATTGTACGCGAAAGCTCGAAACACAGGTCTCGACGGTCACTGTGCATTGTCCGGGGTCCTGTCATAGCACGGCTGCTTGCCAACACTGACCGTTTGAAACACAGTGCCGACTTTGAGATACAGTGACAAACTGGTTCTAGAAAGCACTTTCATGCATGCACTTCTTATGTGACACATCAGTTGTGTACCTAATCTTTGCTCAACTGAATATTAAGGAAAAGTAACTTTTGCTGTAGGTTCATGAAATTTTCACAGATTTAAAAATATCAGAAATGCTCTAGTCATTCACCTGTTACCGTTCTCAAAAGAATAGAACTTTAAAAACATTTCAGAATGTCCATAAAGGGTACATTTATTGCTCAGGGTATAGTACAACCGGGACATAATAGCTAAAGTAATTTTAAGGAAAAAGAATAAGTAAACTATATAGTTTTTTTTAAAGATTTATTTTATTTATTTGAAAGAGTTGGGGACCGGTGCTGTGACGCAGTGGGATGACGCCCTGGCCTAAGTGCCAGCATCCCATATGGGCACTGGTTTGAGATCTGGCTGCTCCGCTTCCCATCCAGCTCTCTGCTGTGGCCTGGGAAAGCAGCAGAAGATGGTCCAAGTGCTTGGGCCCCTGCACCCATGTGGGAGACCTGGAAGAAGCTCCTGGCTCCTGGCTTCAGATCGGCCTAGCTCTTGCCATTGCAGCCATCTGGGAAGTGAACCAGTGTGGGGAGCAAACCGGACTAGACTGAGTTACTGGAATTAAGACTTATTCTATGCATCTGCTCTCCCACAATATGGCGCTGGGAGAGAAGTAAACAGCTTCCGCACAGCTGCCTCCAGTTCAACCAATAAACTGTAGGACTTGCTACTGATTGGAGGAGAGCAGCGTACTCGGCGTGTGGGCAGCCGAGTTGGGATTGGCAGAGGAGGACTATAAAGGAGGAGAGAGACGGCATGCACCAGGAACATCTAAGGGGAACATCTAAGGCGAACATCTAGGGAACATCTAAGGGGAACATCTAGCTGAAGGAACACCTGTGCAGCCCCCGAGAAGAGCCGGCTGGCGGTGTGCCGCTCCCCTGCGGAAGTGGGGAATGTGGCCAGGGGGAACTGCCCTTCCACGGAGGTGGAAGGGATAGTAGCCAACCCGGGAAGAACCAGCAGCAAACCCGGGGAGGGCCGAGCGGACGAAAGAACAGCGCAGGGTCCTGTGTTGCTCCTCCACGAAGAGGGGGAGCGACAAACCAGCAGATGGAAGACCTTTCTCTCTGCCTCTACCTCTCTCTGTAACTCTGTCTTTCAAATAAATAAATCTTTAAAAAAAAAAAAAGTTACACAGAGAGGTAGAAGCAGAGAGAGAGGTCTTCCATCCGCTGGTTCACTCCCCAAATGACTGCAACAGCCAGAGCTGAGCTGATCTGAAGCCAGGAGCCAGGAGCTTCACTGGGTCTCCCATGTGGGTGCAGGGACCCAAGCACCTGGGTCCATCTTCTGCTGCTTTCCCAGGCCTCAGCAGAGAGCCGGATTGGACGTGGAGCAGCCGGGACTTGAACCAGCATCCATATGGGATGCCGGCACTGCAAGCCAGGGCTTTAACCCACTGCACTACAGCGCTGGCCCTCAAACTATATAGTTTCAGCTTTATGGCTGCAACCCAACAATGATCGTGAATCATTGGAGTGGGTTTAACACCATTTTTAAAACAAATTAATTTATTTTGAAAGAGTTACAGAAAGAGAGAGAAGGATCTTTCCTGTGTTTCACTCCCCTGATGGCTGCAATGACCAGGGCTGGGTCAGGCTGAAGCCTGGAGCCAGGAGCCAGGAGCCAGGAGCCAGGAGCTTCCTTTTGTTCTCCCACGTGGGTGCAGGGACCCAAGGCCTTGGGCCATCTTCTGCTGCTTTCCCAGGCCATAGCAGAGAGCTGGATGGGAAGCAGAGCAGCCGGATCTCAAACCAGTGCCCATATGGGATGCCGGTGCTGCAGACGGTGGCTTTACCTGCTATGCCACAGTGCTGGCCCCACCACTTTTGTAAAAAATTGAACTACAATGTAAGATACTAATGCAGTGCACATTTAAGGGGCATTGTGAAATGTTTGTCCACTGTGGTGTTATTTATACTGGAGTTGCAGTGTAAAATTTTTTTAAAGATTATTTATTTGAGAGGTAGAATAGCAGAGAAAAAGATCTTCCATCCACAGGTTTACTCCCCAAATGGCTGCAAACAGCCGGTGCCAGGAGCTTCTTTCAGGTCTCCTATGTGGTGCAGGGGCCCAGGCACTTGGGCCATCTTCCACTGCTATGTCAGGCCATTAGCAGGGAGCTGGATCGGAAGAGGAGCAGCCGGGATAGGAACTGGCACGCATGTAGGATGCCGGTGCTGCAGGCGGAGGCTTAACCCACTGTGCCACAGCCCCGGCCCCAGTGTTAAATAATTTAGAATGTGGGTTAGAGGAAAGAAAAACGTGTAAGAGTGGATCGAATATCCTTGGGAAGATTCAGGAAGCGCTGGGGAGTTAGAAGTGCGTGGAGAGTGAGAATTCCGACGAAGGGGAGGGAGTGGCTAGAGCACAGGCAGCGCTTTAAGTGGAGAGAAGAGCGACTGGGGCCCCAAAGCTGGCAGCAGGCACCAAACACCCAGTAGTAGAACGTGGCAACCGGGTAGGATTTTCAGAGGACATAAAGGATTTCGCGGGGGTGGAGGGGCAGAGTTGAAGACCTTTTAATTTGGAGCTGCCGTGTTAATAATTAATTGTCGTCCCCTAATGGGTTACTGATAGCTTATCGGCTTCGGGGTTGCGTATGTGGACTTTAGCAGCGGTACCTCTAGCCTGGTGGCAAACAAGTGCGGATGCTGTGAGAGGCCCTGGGAGGGGCGTGTGGACACCCCGCCTGCGAAGGCCGGGGGAGGCCCCGAGCTCCGTGGGTTGGGGGCCTGGGGGGGGTTACTGTATCTCGGTAGTGGGCACTGGATCACTGAGGGCCCACGCAACGTTAAAGGCTGAAAGGGTTACTGGGAGATGAGGGGCTCCGAGGGAAACGCTGCGAGAGGTATCATTACTCTGCAACGAGCCGGGTTTCATCACTGCGGCCGTGCCCACTGCAGCACCGTAATTACAGGGCGAGGATAATTGAGTTTTGAAACTCAGCACCCAGCTAGTGCCTCTGCCCGGAGACAAAGAACCTGGTCTGCCCTCTCTCCTGGCTCCAGGGCTGGCTCTCCCCCCTCTCCCCCCAGCCCCAGGGCCTTCCTGCCACTGGCGGGGCGGGAGGTGGGGGAGCCGGGACCCGCCCCACCGCCATCGTGGGGGGCCGTCCCCCGGACCCTCCCTGCCTGCAGCCGCAGCCAGCTGGGCGCCTCTGGGCTGCCCGCAGCCAGGCCGGATCGCCCCCCACCCCCCCGCGGGCCTCCCAGGCCAGGCGCCGGCGGGCTTGGCCGCTCAGGGAACCGGACCAGGGCAAGTTCAAGGGGCGGCTCGTTTTCCCAGCAAGTTTACTTCTCCCAGGCCCGCCACCCGCCTCAGCAGGCCCGCTCCGCGCCATCCCCGGGGCATCCCGCACCCAGAGACCCACGTGCCCAGGCTTCGGGCTAGTAGATCCGGCTGCCCGCAAGGGCTGGCTAGTCTGAAAAGTGAGCCCGGAACTTGAACTCTCGGCCGGCTGCAAGAGGCAAAAGAGCCAGCACCCCGGGGCGCCGCCGCCTGCCGGGAGCGCATCCCGGCGCCGGCAGCGCGCGCGAGGCTCGTTAAGAAGACGTGTCCAGACGCATGCACGGCGCAGGTGGGGCGCCGCCGCGGGCCAAGGTCTCCGGGGCGGGACTCCGCGGGAGGCGGGGCCTGCGGGCCGGGCCGGGCGGCAGCACCGGGCCGAGCGGCCTCCGAGCGCCGCCCCACGTGGCAGCCCCGGCGAGGGCGGGGCGCGCCGTGACGCGCGGGGTATATAGCCGGGCATGCGCGGCGGGGCCGGCCGCACGCAGGGAGGGGGCCTGGCGCGGGCAGGGCTCGGGGACGCACGGCCGGACCGCGCCGCGGCTGCTGGTGCTGCTGCTGCTGCTGCTGCTGTCGCCGGCCGCCGGGGCCTGGCGGGCGAGTGCGCGGGGCCGCCGGAGCTGCAGGTGAGCGGGAGCGCGCGCGCGCGGCCGGCTGGGGGCGGGGAGTGGGGGCTCCGCGGTGCCTGGGACCCGGAGCCTGGCTGCGCGCGTGGACGCGTCCCCGTGTGCTGCGATGGAGGGCGGCGAGGTCACAGGCGCGCGGCCGGTTCTGCTGCGGGGCGCGAGATGCGTGAGCCGGAGACGGGCACCCGGAACGTGGGTACCGGCGCTGGAAGGCGGGGACCCGGCGTGCGGGGGGCACGCGGGGCGGATGGGCAGCCCCGGGGGCCGCTGCCGTGGACGGTGGGGGGGCCGGCGCCTCCTGGACTTTGCTTTCCAGGACCGGTATCCCCTCCCCCCAGCTCCCTCCCAGGCCACGTTCCGGCTGCAGGTGATCGGCGGATGGGCAGCTGGAGCCGGAGAGCGGCGGAGGCGACCCGCGCTCCCCCACCCCGCCCCCACCCCGCCCGACCCGGGAGGGAGGCTCTGGGCTATTTCTGGCCAGTGCCGAGCGCGTTCGGCGGTCCGGCTCAGGCTGCCCCCTCTTGGACCCATCCCGGAGGTCGCCCTGGGACCCCGAGTTCCGCTCAAGCCACACTGTGCTCAGCTCCGGCTTGCAGGTTCTTTGAGGATCTGGGGTCCGACCTGGGTGGCCTGGACGTGCGAGAGGGCGCCCGGCCTGAGCCGGTGAGGGCCGAGTGCCCCCCGGGGTGGGCGTGGGGGTCTGACGGATCGGTGCCGGCCAGAGCTGCCTCCAGCCCGACCCTTGTTGGAGCAGCGCCGGGGTGGGCTCGGCGGCTTGTCCTGGCTTGCCCTGTGACCCTGGGGAGGGTTACTGCGGTGGGGTCGCACTGTGCCTCTGGGCCCCTTACTTCTTGAAACCCCAGCCTTGGAGGCTGAGGATGGTGGGTCCCTGCGGGAGCTGCCCGGGGGCGGATTGGCCGACAGTTGAACCCTAGGCCCTGTTTCTGCTTGCAGTTTGTGACCCGCCGGCCTTCCACCTTGGGGAGGGCAGGGCTAAGGGGAGATAAGTCCAGGTGTTGGCTGCACACCCTGGCAGCGGGTGAGGAGTGGAGGGAAAGGAGCCTGCTGGCCCCGGTTTGGACGCGAAGACTTGAGAATTGCCAGCTTCCCAGAGGAGCCAGAGTGCCCGGGACTCTCAGAGCACGAATCCCACCCCAGGGCTCCTCCGGGAGGAAGGGTCCCATCGGCCGCTAGGGGGCTGCTCTGTGGTCCCCCAGGCCTCTCCCCTCCTGGTGCTGGGGAGGAGGAACCCCCACTAGGGGCAGAACCCCCCTAGGCCCTCTGTCCCGTGAAGTTCAGAGAGGAGAGTGCTCTGCCTGAGCCGGTGTCTGGACACGGAGTTCCAGGTGCCCGCCGGGTAGGTCTGTGTCCACGTCCCAGCCCCGTGGCCCCCAGCGCTGAGGGCTTTCCTCACGGCCTCATGGGCCGGGGCCCCTGTGCCCGGCACCTGGCAGAGAGCATCCCAGAAGCTGATGGGTGGGGTGGGCCGTGGGAGCAGGAGGAGCCGGGACGCAGAGGTGACTCCGTGGCCTGGTGCGCTGGTTTGGGTTAGATGTCTACGTGTGTGTTACACTCTGGGCGCAACTCTGGGTTCTGTAGAGAAGTACTCCCCCTGGGCCGTGTGTGCCCGGCTGTCCCCGGGCTGGTTCTGTTCCCAGACCTGTGCCCCCTCACCCCTCGCCCGCCCACTAGGACCCTCCACCGCCGTGGTCTTGGGTTCTAAGCAGCCGCGCTGTGAGCAGGCCGTGCCTGTTGGCATTGGACCCTGGAGCAGGGACCCGCCTGGCCATTTTTCGGAGGACAGGGTGTGGACTTGGAGGCGCCTGGGCCTAGGCCGGGCCCTGTGTTTTACGGTGAAGGGAGCTGCATCCAGAGAGCGGGCGGGGGCTGCCGGGCCTCGCTGGTTGCCAGTGGCCCAGACTTGATGGAGGGCCCCAGGGGATGGCGCTGCCTTTACTCCTACGTGCGGAGCCGTGGCTGATAGCCCCTGTCTTTCTCTCCCAGCCTTGGGAAGGGAGGGCCGGAGGGCTGTGCAGGGAGCCCCACTGCCCGGTCTCCCAGCCCCAGCCGTCTCCCCTGCTGGGGCCCCTTTGACATGGGGAAGGCAGAGCCCTCTGCTGGGCCCCCTCTCTGCACAGAGGCCAGGCCTGCCCTGGGGGAGTTCTGGCAACTCCACAGCCAGCTGTGCTCAGGCCCCCTGCCCCCTCCTCCTGCTGGACTCGGAAGCAGAGCCAGGGCCCAGAGCCAGGGCCGTGGTGGAAGGAGCAGGTGACTGTCCTCGCATTGTCACGATGGAGTCCCCGCTGGCCCCCGGAGAGTGCACTCGTCTCAGTACTGAAGGGAAAAGGAAAATTTAGTCAGGGCGGACGCTGGGCACGGGGGTTGAGACTCACTTGGAGCACCCCCGTCCTGGACTGGAGGGCCTGGGTTCAAGTCCTGGCTCCGCTTCTGGCCCAGCTTCCTGCTAGGTGCCCCTGGCGGGCAGCAGGTGATGGCCAAGTACTGGCATCACTGCCCCCCACCTGGAGACCCGGACCGAGTCCTGGGCTCCTGGCTCCTGGCTGTTGTGGGCATTTGGGGAGTGAGCCAGCGGGTAGATGATTCGTTCTCTCTCTCTTCTCTTCTCTCTGCCTTTCTGATAAATACAAATCAATAAATGCTTTTTTTTTAAGGTTGGGAATTAAAAAACCAAAAATGTGTGTTAAATTATTTTTTCTTAAAGCATGTATATATTTTAATCACCCGAACTTGAAACTTTTATTTGAAAGGCAGGCAGGAACTTCCATCCACTGGTTGACTCCCCAAATGCCTGTAACAGCAGGGGCTGGGCCAGCCAAAGCCGAAAGGAGCTCCGTCGGGGTGTCCCACGTGGGAGGTGGGCCCGTCAGCACCTGCTGCCTTCCCAGCGTGCCATGAGCAGGAAGCTGGAGCTGGAAGCAAAGCCAGGGCCCAAACCCGGGCACTCTGACATGTCTGGGGTGTGGATGCTGGCATCCCACCCGGGATCTCACCCGCTGTGCCAAACGCCGACCCCTAGTTGTAGTCACCAGAGCTTTGCTTTAGGGCCAGAGCCTTTCCGTTGAGTCTCTAGGTCTCTTACTTAGGCTTGCGAATTGCATATAAAAATCACACCGAAGGGTGTCATCTGTGAGTTCTCATTTCCTCTATTCCACTTTTTTCAACTATGTTATACTTTCATAGTTCAGATATCAAAGCAGGAAAAGACACAGTCCAAGGTCCTTTCCCCCTCTTACGTATTTGAAAGGCAGAGTGACAGAGAGAGGGAGAGAGAGACAGATCTTCCATCTGCTGGTTCACTCTCCGAATGGCAGCAGTGGCCAGGGCTGGGCCAGGCTGAAGCCAGGAGCGCGGAGCTCCACCCGTCTCCCCCGTGGGTGGCAGGGGGCAGGGTTGCCCTGGGCCGGCTCTGGATGGGAAACCGAACAGCTGGGACTCAGGCCAGCCCTCCCATCTGAGATGCGGGTGTTGCGGCCCTGGCTTAACCCTCCGAGCCGTGACGCCGGCCCGTCCCCTCCTGCCAGTGCTAGGCGGCGGCACCGCAGTCTTTGCTCGGCGCCCGGTTTCTCTCCCGCACCCGTCTCGGACTTTTCCCTGTCAGCACGCACCCGGCTCCCAGTGTGTTCGGATGACAGCTGCGTGGGGAGCCGTCTGTGGGAGATCTGTCTTCTTTAGCCGGCATATACCTTCTCCCCCCACTCCCCGCCCAGCCGTGGGTTGTTTTCTGCATTTGCCATTATATGCACTTCTGCCATGAGTAATTTTGTACAAAAGACATTTCCTACGTGTGTAAGACTACAGAGTGAATTCGGCAGAGTGGGACTGCCGTTGCTTTCGGAGAAAACAGAACTAAGACGCTTGCAAACCCGCTCCCGGTCAGAATCCTGCTGTTATGTGCATCCGTAACTTAATTGCGGTTCTTATAACAAGTCTTTTTTTTTTTTTTTGTAAGATTTATTTTATTTATATGAAAGAGTTAGAAAGGTGGAGACAGGGAGACAGAGAGGTCTTCCCCCGCTGGTTCACTCCCCAGGTGGCCGCAACAGCCGGAGCTGAGCTGATCCGAAGCCAGGAGCTTCTTCTGGGTCTCCCACGCAGGTACAGTGGCCCAAGGACTTGGGCCGTCTTCTGCTGCTTTCCCAGACCATAGCAGAGAGCTGGATGGGAAGTGGAGCAGCCAGGACTAGAACCGGCGCCCATATGGGATGCCGGCACTGTAGTCAGCGGCTTTACCCACTGCACCAACAGCGCCAGCCCCGCCCCTTACTTTTATCACTTGTTTGTGTGGCTGTGCCTACTGATATTGACTATATTAAAAATTAAAACAGAAATTTGAAAAAGTATTCATTTAAAATAAATTTTTTTGTGTTAACACGAAAACATATTTTATTGGGGCCTACACTGTGGCGCAGTGGGTAAAGCCACCACAAGTCCTGGCTGATTGTAAAACTCTGTTCACAGTCTGTGTGGTCTGTGGGGAGGCTTTGCGGTCCTAACATTATAGTAATAAAAAGGGTGCTTTCCTCAGGGACCCTCGCAACTGCTGTTTGATTTTCATCCAAATCGGAGCATTTTCTCTTCTGCCTTCCGGCTCCCTCCTGCCCGGGCAGCGTCAGAACAGTGCTGGCCCCAGGAGGTTTGGCGAGGGCCCGGTCCTGGAGTTCCTGGCCCGGGGCAGGGAGCCTGACTCCCTCCCACACCGGGGGCAGCCGGGCCTGCAGAGTCTGGCTCGGGCGAAATGCTTGTGCAAGACGCTTGTTAATTGTGTTTGGAGTAGCGCTTTGCAGTGGGGGAAGCACCCGGTGGCAGCGTGTGCTCCACTCCAGTGAGTGACAGACAAGGAAGGAGGCCAGGGACCACAGTGCCCCGGGGGACACTTCTGACAGGTGCAGTAGAGCCAAGAGGTTGTTTTGGGTTTTGTTCTTTTTTTTTTTTTAAGAGAGGGAAGTGGAGAGAGTGAGCGCTCCCATCTGCTGGTCCCC